ACCTGAACCCAGATTTATTTTACCTCAAGACAAAAAGAAACACAACGCTTTTGCCACAGAAAAGTTCATAGAATGACTGTTTTCTTTTTTTGCGATATTAAATTTTTTAAACTTATTTTATAGCTACTTAGAAGAAAAAAATCTATTAAATTAAATAAATTTATAATAATGATAATAATAATAACCTTGTTTGTAGAGCACCTATTTTTAAAAATAAAATAAAATAAATTAGTTTACAAAGTGCTTTACAGACAGGGCAAAAAAAATAAAAGGATAGTCAGAAAGAACATTGACCAACAAACGACTGGTCAGTCCAAACATAGTAAAAGATTTTCAAAATAAATGAGTACAACAACACCTGGTAAAAATATTTTAAAAAGTGGAATGAAAAAACAACAACAAAACAATATAAGTTAGTAAAAGGTTAAAGAGAACAAAATAAACAACAAAATAAATAAAGTAATGAAAAATCAATTAGATGATGAAATAGGCAATAATAATAATAATAATATAAAGTAATGAAAAATCAATTAGATGATGAAATAGGCAATAATAATAATAATAATAATAATAATAATAATAATAATAATAATAAAGATTGAAAAATGCAAAATATTTTTAAAACTGGCAAATAAATGTTAATAATTGTAACTTCATTTAAACTGTTATATTATCAATTTATTTACATGTTAACTGTAAAAAAAAATTGAATGGCTCTAGGCTGTATTTTTATAAATAATACTTTACACAAGTACACATTTTTTCAGGTTTTTTTGCTGTATTTAAATCATCCTAAAATCTTGTTATTTCACAGCTATATAGAAGAAAAAATATATATATTTAAGGATTGAAAAGAGGTAAATATGTTTTTTTAAGCTGGTATTTTACAGACTGTCCTTGTTTTGGTCAATTACAGGTAATATCGAGTAAAATCAGAGAGTTAAAAAAGAAAACAAACAAAAAACCAGATTCCCTCTCAGGCCTTGAAAGTGAAACTAAAATCCAGTGTGATACATATTTAACTGTCCTCCACAGAGAAGACATCGATTTTCTCCAAACTTTGCAGCTTCATGCCGCGTTCCTGCCTCGCTCCGACTCTTCCAGGTTCATCAGGTTCCAGGTTTTAGCAGCATCTCCTTAGTAACCGAGACCATCGCGTCATCTCCAGGCAGAATGTATGTTTGGCCGAGTTCTGCTCACGTCTGAGTCACAAAGCCTCCCAGGAGGGCCTCGGCGTCCGTCCTCCCACCTCCTAACTGGAAAAGAAAAGAAAGCTGGGAACGCCATGGTTACAGTCAGGTGTGCGCTCCTGTACATGTTTATGTGAGCTTCGTCGTCGAGTGGACGCAGCGTGGAGGATCGCCATGGTTACCGCTTTAAAGTTTCCCTCTGAGCGTGTGTGGGGGGGGCGTCAGAGCGAGAAACAGGGAAGAATAACACGAACAAGTGACCATTATGTCATTTAGATTATAAAACATGGCTGCAGGGATGCAGAGGTCGCCTTTCTAAGTGCAAACTCTCTGGTTTTTGGCTGGCAATGAGCGCAAAAAACCTGCA